GAACTGTGCATGTAGAAATTTTTGAAATGGTGTATCTTTGGCTATGTGTATTTTCACCAAAAAAAAAGGTTGAGAGGTTAGAGGGTTGACATGTTGTGGGGTTGTTAACCTATGTCATAAAACAATATGTGTACTACTGTTTCATGAGAAACTATTTGTTCTGTAAGTCTTTACCTGAAATACAATTAAAAAAAAAAAAAGGGGGGAAAAACAAATTAGACAGGACTATAAAACAAAAAACAAAACACGTGAGGAGGGTGCTTCTTAATGTAATCAGATATGCACGACCAAATGGGCAGCTCCTGTCCAGAGGCAGGATGAGAAGGCAGGAAGGGACAGAACTGGTTGAATGGACACAGGGAACCTGGGTGGAAAGGAGGAGTGTGCTGTCACATTGTGAGGATTGCAACTAATGTCACAAAACAATGTGTGTATAAATTTTTGTATGAGAAATTAACTTGAGCTGTAAACTTTCACGTGAAGCACAATTAAAAAAGCAAAACAAACAACAGCAACAAAAAAAATCACTGGTCTACCTTACACTTTGAATGATTCTTTTACCCATTATTCTCTGGTCATTTGGAAAATATAAACTCAATGAATTATGCTTATCTTCCAAATAAGATAATGCTGAAACATTATACAGTATCAAAAATTAAAAAACAAATCAAAACAAAAACCTTATTATCACCATTGAGCTCATCAGAAAAGTTCTGAGATTGAGCAGCTATGAGCATTCAGTGGGAAGATGCAAGTTTTTAAAATTCTAGTTTTTGCCTGAAAGCTTGTATATTATCCTTTGCAACAAAAAATCAACTGTTTTCCTTAAAGTAATGGACTTACTTTGTTCGTTTTTGAGAAAATTGTCTAACAAATGCCCTAGTATGAATAACCAGTACATCATTATTTCAAGTAAAATTGGTGTTCCATGGAAAAAAAGTAACTGGCTCAGCTCACAACTCAAACAAGAGAATTTGCTTTTAGTGAGCAAACAGTAAAAGAAATAATAAATAAGGAGTTCAAGTAGAAGGAAAATTATCCTAGACTGAAACATGAAAATGCAGGAATAAAGAACTCTGAAAATGATAAGCATGTACTCATTACACAAATTTGTCTAGTTTGTGAAAATTCAAGCTTTTCACATATGATGTGAGGCAATGCAAATTTCCTGGTTGCACAATGGTTAAGCACTCAGCTGCTAACAGAAAGGTTGGCAGTTTAAACCCACCTATAGCTGCTCTGTGGTAGAAAGACCTGGCAATCTGTTCCTGTAAAGATTACAACATAGAAAACCATATGGGGCAGTTCTGTTCTGTTACATTGGGTTACTTGGAGTTGAAAATGACTTAATGCACCCAACAATAACAATACCATGTCTGCAAAATAGAAGTAAATCTACAGAGAACTTAGAAATCCCATGATTTTTAAAGTAACCCATTAATTGTTTTAATCCTGAAGGGAAAAAAAAAGGTATTTATTACTCTAATATGAAAGCAGATCAAATAAGATATTTCGTTTTTTCTAGTTTAATTATAGCAAAGGTTACAATTTTATCAAATAAGCGTATGATTTAACAGCTCCTTTTGAGTGTCAAAAATTTAATACAACGTGTGTATAAATTTTTGTATGAGAAACTAACTTAAGCTGTAAACTTTCACCTAAAGCACAATAAAAAAATACACATATATACATAAAATATATATTAAAAAATTAATATATTTGCTTTTATTTAATTATTTTTTAAAAGGTATATAACTATTCCCCTGACTTCTTAAACTGGGAAGATGAATCTGTTTCTTCAGTGTAAAAAGAAATTATCCCTACCTACCTCATAAAGGAGGAGGCCTGGTGGCACAATGGTTAAGCTCTTGGCTCCTAACTGAAAGAAAGGTCGGCAGTTCAAACCCACCAGTGGCCCCAAGGGAGGAAAGGCCTGGTGATTTGTTTTCACAGAGATCACAGCCTAGGAAACACTACAGGGCAGGTCTACTCTGTCATACAGGCCACTATGAGTTGGAATCGACTGGCAGCACATACCACCACCACTATCACCTTACAAAACAGATGTGAAGCACCACATATGTAAAATACCTATTCTAGTGCTTGACACATTGAAGATGCTCAACAATATCAACAATAGTTAGTTCCATTCGCCCTCCTCTCTCTCACTTAACATCTGTTGTTTTAATGAATAGCAATACAATCTCTAGTTTTTTAATTTTTCTATCTCCTCAATAAAAACCGAGTTGTCAAAAAAAAAAAAGTTGTCGCTCCTGCTTCACCTATTTCCCAACCACTTTTAAGTTACTGAATTTCATTCTGCTAGGAGATATGACAACAGACAAATTAGTAGTACTCAACCATAGGCTAAACAAAGAAGGCTTCAGAAGCCAAGTGTCTTTTGAGGAGAGCCTCTATGACACCAACCTCTCTAGCTTTGAAGCCTACTTCTATACCTCTTTCTTTAATGTACATCAAGTTACATTCATGAGTGTCCAGAAATCTGATTGAGTATTACAATACTAGGTTTCAAAATTACTGTGATAAAATTAATTTCATCATTCTGAGTTTAAACCATCTGTCTGGCATTTACTGAAGCAACTGCTGAAGATATTCTACAGATGAGATTTTTCTCAACAAAAATGCAAAAATGTTTCCGCATCTGTTGTTTTTGTTGATATATCACCTAGATTAGCAAATTCTTGCCTAGGGCGAAAACACAGAACGTTCTTAACGTACACATTTTTCCTAATGATTCCATTAAGATTGTGTCACCTTTTCAACCATATTTTCTATTGCTACTCTACTACAATTATATATGTGTCTGTGTGTGTATGCATATTATGTACGCACACACATAGAAACCCACTGCTACTGAGTCATAGTGACCCTACAGGACAGAGCAGAACTGCCCCATAGGGTTTCCAAGGAGCGGGTGGTGGATTCGAACTGCCGACCTTTTGATTAGCAGCCAACCTCTTTAACCACTGCAACACCAGGTTCACACACACACACACACACACACACACACACACTCACACACGGAGTCCTAGTGGTGTTAGCTCGACTGCTAACCAAAAGATCAGCAGTTCAAATCCACCAGTCGCTGCTTGGAAACCCTATGGGGCAGATCTACTCTGTCCTATAGGGTCACTATGAGTCAGAATTGACTCAACAGGTGTTGTTGTTGTTTTTTTTTTTTTGTGTGTGTGTGTGTGTGTCTATATGAAAGAGAAAGATTTCCGATACACTGAGTCAACCAAAACTGTTACTTTAATCTCTAAATATAATGTCTAAGATTTTTTTTAAAATCACAGACTTGAGTATTTGATAAGATTACCAGAGGATTAGAAATAGAAGATGGAGTTTCCCAGATATTAAGGGAAAGAAAACAGAAAAACAGGAAAGCTAAACAGTTTAAAAACTTCACAATTTTGCCTAAATGGGGCTCTCTTACAGTCATGTTGAGGTTGATTATAAAGCAAAAACACTCAAACTAACAACAACAGAAATCCATTGTTGATTTTGTCACTTCCAAGGAATTCATTAATTAAAATATCACTGAAGTAAGACTCAATTTTAATACAATTAACTTTCCATTGGAACCCTGGTGGCGCAGTGGTTAAGAGCTAAGGCTGCTAACCAAAAGGTCGGCAGTTCGCGAGAACCAGTAGTTCCTTGGAAACCCAATGGGGCAGTTCTACTCTGTCCTACAGGGCCACTATGAGTCGGAATCAACTCAACGGCAATGGGTTAACCTTCCATTATGTGGAGATGATGATCAGTTTTGTGGATTATTAAAATCTTTTTTCTTTCCTTCTTACTACTCATTAGTAGTTTTTGCTCAAAGCAAAGGACAGTCAAGGAAATGGAATGGAACTAGAATGTCAATCATTCCATATTACTACTATTCGGGTAAGCTTAAAGAATTATAAATATACACTAATGAGGGAAGAGGTACAAACAGCTATTTTACTATTCCAATTGAAGATTTCATGTTAATACATAGCTATTAAACATTACCAGAAATTATCAAGGCTTGAGGACAAACATTCAATTTCACATACATCTATTGTTACATGGAGTACTTTTCCCCTCTTAGTTATTTTAGTTAAGTGCAAGTTATGGTTTGCCAGCTTTTTCACTTTTATTTTCAAAAGATTAAGTCACTGGATACACCTACTTTGGCTGTCTCAAAATAGTTTCAATTCTCTTAAATAAGTCACAAAACAAGCATCAACAAATTTAAAAAGACTGAAATAATACAAAGTATATTATCCTACCACAATGAAATGAAACCAGAAAAACAACAGAAGGGAAATGGGAAATTACACAAATATGTTGGAATTAAACATCACACTATTAGACGGCCAATTGGTCAAAGAAGAAATCAAAAGTGAAATTAGAAAATACAAAGAGATGAATGAAAATGAAAGCACAACACACCAAAACTTACGTGATGCAGAAAAGGCTGTACTCAGAGGAAAATTTATAGCTGTAAACACCTTATTGATAAAGAAGAAAGATCTCAAATCAATAATCTAACTTCACATCTTGAGGAATTAAAAAAAGAATAAACTAAGCCCAAAGCTACCAAAAGAAAAGAAATAAAGATTATAGCAGAGAGAAATGAAATAGAGAATAGAAAAAAGTAGAGAAAATAAACAAAACCAAAAGTTAGTTCTTTGAAAAGATCAATTTCTACTTGCAGATGACATAATCCTATATACAGATTATCCCGAAGAATCTTCAAAAAAGCTATTTGAGCTAACACATTCAGCAACATGGCAAGGTACAATGTCAACACACGAAAATCAGTTAGGTTTCTATACACCAGCAATGAGCAATCTGAAAAGGAAATTAAGGAAAGAATTCCATTTACATAACATCTAAAGGAATACTTAGGAATAAATTTAACCAGGGAAGTGAAAGACTTGCACACTGAAAACTACAAAACATTGCTGAACGATACTAAAGAAACCTAAATAAATGGAAAGACAAACCATGTTCATAAATTGGAAGACTCAGTATCATTAAGATGTCACTACTACCACAGCAATCTACAGATGCAATCACTAGCAAAATTCCAAAGCCTTCTTTGCAGAAATGGAACAGTCAATCCTCAAATTTACATGGAATTTTAACGGGCCCCAAACAGCCGAAGTAATCTTGAAAAGGAAAAACACAGTATGAGGACTCCCACTTTCCAATTTCAAAATGTACTATAAACCTACAGTAATCTAAACAGGCTAATAATATTCAATGCAATCAAGTGCTAATACTCAGATACTAAGGATGCAAAAGTTTATGAATGAGGGTAAAAATTTGTGAATCTATATATTTTTTAATATTCAAGTTTAGTAAACACCAGTTTCAAAGAAGAAAAGGTAGCAGTTAATATTCCAGTGACATCCTTCTTCATAGATCCATTACTGCTAGTTGCCACTGAATGAGCTCCAACTCACGATGACCTTATCCATTATTACCAGAAGACTTACTGAAAACAAGTCAAAATGAGCCCATCTAGAAAACCAGTTAGATGTTTTCTACTAAAAGAAATATCACCAGGTAAACTTAGTAAATCCTCTCTACCTTATGCATAACCAATACAGAGGAAAAAAATAAAAGCTTTACTGCACTTAAAGTAGTTCTAGTCTTCTAATGGTACAAGAATTATGAAACCACACATGACCCTTAATGAGCTCCACAAGTTATCCCACGCTTTTGCTCTTTAAATCAGGATAAAAGCCATGTATTCTGAAACCACAAAGCAAAATAAACAATTCTTAACTCTAACAAAGATTTTAAGTAAAAGAAAATTTAATATTAATATTTCTATGAAGGTTTCATAAGGCTTCATCATTCTATTTTTATCTTACCCTTATCTGTTCAGTAGAGCTGCTGCTAAGTTCATCACCGGATTCAGAATCTTGATGTATTCTTTCTGAGCCTTCTCCTGCCGAATCACAGGACTGTTCCTGGGAGAAGCCAGTTTTTTCTATGTCTGAGAACTCTGGACCTGGAAAGTGACCAAATAAGCGCGTCCTATTCTGGCTAGGAACCTTAGGAGAATGTGAGTCACTGTTAAACTTTCCATTATTATGGGTCAGGTCCAGGCTTAGGCTGACAGTCTGACCTGGGCTACAACTGGGTCCAAAATTCTGATTGGCATCACGAATAAGACCTGTTCCTTGAACAGAAGATGATGACTTTCCAAAACTTGAAAGCTCAGGCAATTTGTTCACATTTTCTGTCGATCTCTGAAGATGTAGACTCTGTATCATTTTCACAGAATTATTTGGCTGTCCAACTGCCTGTTTAACAGGCGGCATTAGAGCTTTGCGAGGGACCTCCTTAACATACTGGGCTGGCACATAAAATGCTTTGGAATTCTCATCTGGTTTGACTTGCCACCAGTCATCATTTGTTTTTTTCACCAAGATGTACCGCTCTCCTTGTTTTATCACAATCCTTCTGTCCTTTGCATCATATTCATAATCATATTCCACTTCAATATACACTTGGCCTGGAACAATCTTCCCACTTCTGTCAGCCATTTTTATTCAATGAAATTCACTTCTCAAAAAGGATGGTATCCCACATTATGGTTTTTTGGATTAATATAGCTGTTTTCACTTAAATGGAAGAAGAGAATGAAGAAAACATTAATGTAATCTGGATCTCTAGTATGTCCTCATAAACATACAATACGAGCCACTTCAAGAATATTACCTTCCAATCTCAAACTCCAGAAAGTAAACAGGTGTCTAATATCTTATGTATTTGCCTACATTGAGCGTATTTTTCATTTTAACTGTAATCTACATGTTTTAGTCATTTTTGACCAAACCCAAAATCAATTAACTGGAACAGTAAATATACATTGATAGTCACAAGAATATCAAAAATAAAATGTGAGAACCTTCTTTTCATAACCTGAAACCTCCTTTACCACTTTCTTTAAAAGGCCCACTAGTAATAACTAGCAGTTCAAACTCCTCTAGTGGTAACACTGAAGAAAGACCTGGCAATCTGCTTCCATTAAGATTCCAAACCAAACCTTCAAGTCTACCCTCAAGTCAATTCCTACTCACAGTGACCCTACAGGACAGAGTAGAACTGCCCCATAGGGTTTCTAAGGCTGTAAATCTTTATAGAAGCAGACTGTCACATCTGTCTCCAGGAATGGCTGGAGGGTTCAAACTGCTGACCTTTTGGTTTTAGCCAAGTGCTTAACAACTGCACCACTGGGGTTCCTCACCATTACAGCTAAGAAAATCCTAGGGAGCACACTTCTTCTCTGTAATACATGGATTCACCACGAGTCGAATCAACTCCATAGCAATGGGTTTTAAAATATGCATCAGACACTTAGAAAGTACCCGGCACTGAGGCTAGGTTCACTACATGCCTATCTAAGACCCTCTTCAAAACTGTAGCTGAATTTCAATCGCCCAGCATTATTTCCCAAAAAGATCAAGGGCATTAGCTGAGTTTAAAAAAAAAAAAGTTACCCAATTATATGAGCTATGTTTCCTAACATAAATTTTAGAAGAGAACACTGCTACTCTTAGGCAAAACACACAGAGATAAAGAAAAGAAACTGAGAGTTTATACTTGCTTTCCCTCTTCCCTCTACCTACAATACTTTTTAGGTTGAATCTCAGTCTGTCAGAAACAGCCCTAAATTAGCTTGAGAAATCTAGCATTCACTTTTATTTCTATACCAATTCCAAAATATTTTAGCACCTCTTAGAACACAGCATTCAAGGTTCAAAATGATCACAGAATCTTGGTACTGTTTACAACTTAAGTCAACCCTCAATCCAACTGCAGCAATTCAAGGATGACTTAGGCAAACCTAAGTAATTCTGAACACTGAAATGTACCAGAATTGTTTAAACCCAAGGCCCCATGACAACCTACTAATTTTCCTCAGCCCCCAAATACTGGGCATAATATTATAGTACTACAACCGTGCAGTAACAATCAATCATTCTACTGAAGATAACATCCTTCTCCACAACAGATAAACCTCATAAACCCAGATGGTAAATAAGTAAGTTACTGACACAATTTCAGTAATTAAAATGTATTTTGTATACAACTACTTGAATAACAAATTTAGAAGAGTCATATGTTATTTCAAAAACGAAAAAAAAAACTTACCTTGGAAGAAGATGAAATAAAGATCAGGTATTACATTTAAACCTAGGAAAAAAGAAAGTTCATTAGCTCTAACTAGGATTGCTTAAAGAAAGCTAAGAATATAATGTTGCTCACATGTTTTTAAAGCTTTATGCTTTTATAATCACTGAAAGGAACACAGTATAATTTTACCCACTGTGATTGTGTTCGGCACCACCCTCCAAACGCACACAAACACCATCATTAAGAGCTGTTGTGGTTTGCTTTACCACCGCCCTCTCCTGCTTCATTTCCACATTGTTTCAACTTCATTTCTGTCTCTTCATATTTTTTATTCTGAGAAACAGGAAAATACGAGGTACATGTATTTTTAAACTTCTGACTATGTAGCAAACAATTTTTTAAAAATTAAATAACAGAAATGTTTTCCAGGTTTATGGGACTGATGAGTAAACAGAATGAATATAAACATCTTAGAAGTTGTTGGGAGTCTTAATACACTTCCCAAAGATTACTACTAATTTTAAACAGGGAAATACACCTTTACAGTGGAGAGATCTGGCAGTCACCAGCTGAACCAAGCAATCAAACTTAGCACCATCAGTAGTGTGACAATCTGATGATAAGTGCCTCCTGATGTGATACATTAAGAAGGACACAACGTCACCTACGTTGTCACCTACGCTGTATTTTTGTAAAAAAAAAAAAAAAAAAAAAAGTTTGATCTTAAGCTAATTATTAGAAAACAATCAAATTCAGAATGTGAGGCATTCTATTAGACCACAGATCTGAACTCTTCAAAAAAGTCAATGTCATAAAAAATTAAAAAGGGAAGAAGATTTTTCCAGTCTAAAAGAAGCTAATGGCACATAACCAAATTCACCTGCTGGTCTATCTAATAGGTGCCTAAAACTTACTATATCCAAAATCTAATTTCTTTCTCTACCTCATCCCACCCTACCCTGCTGAGTCCGCTCATTCCACAGTCATTACCATCACAGTAAAGAGACATTCCAACTCTCCAAGTGCTCAGGGCAAAAACAATGAAATCAGCCTTAATTCTGTTCTTGTACTTCATACCCTACATATCCAATCTATATAGCATGTACTGTCTAGTCTACCTTCAAAACACAAATCTGATCACTTTTCACCACCTTTACAACTATCATCCTGGTCCAAGCCCCATCATCTCTCTCCCTTGACTTTAGCAATAGTCTCCTAACTGGCCTCCCTGCTTCCATCCTTGTCCTACTATAGGCTCTTGTTAAAATAATAGCTGGGAGTGTCTTTTAAAAATATAAATCAGATCAAGTCATTACTCTCTAAAACCCCGCAATGGTTTCCCACACGTTGTTAGGTGCCATCAAGTTGATTTCTGACTCATAGTAACCCCATGCGACAGAGCAGAACTGCCCCATAGGGTTTTCTTGGCTGTAATCTTTACAGAAGCAGATCCACAGGTCTCTCTCTCATGGAACCACTGGGTGGGTTCAAACAGTTAACCCTTCAGTTAGCAGCTGAGCACTTAACCGTTGTGCCACCAGGGCTCCTTTTTCCCACTTGCAGTAGATGGCAAAAAATGTCGTAAGTTCTCTGCTGCTACTCTTATCAAGAGGAAGACTGTTTTTCCACACCTTTAATTTTGGCCATGTGACAGAGGTTCGGCCATTAAGATACTAGAAATATGACTCAAGCAGAGACTTGAGAATTATTTGCCCTCTCTTTTCCTGCTAGAAACCTTTCCATCACCACGTGAAGAAGCACAGGCTAGCCTGCTGGATGATGAGACACATGGCCACATGCTGACAGCCAGCACACTTCCATCCTTGTCCTAACATGAATGAGGCAAGGTGGCAGCAGAACCACCTAGCCAATCCAAACTTTTGGGCAAAATTAAATGATTTTTGTTTAAGCCACTGAATTTTGGGGTGGTTTTTACAGCACAAAATCTAACAGATAAACCATTTCAATCAGAGTAAAGCTAAAGTCTGTACAAAATGGCCATATGTAGGGTGACCATACCACCCAGGGCCGTCCTTGTTGTACCTGTCTTAAGAGTAATTCCTAAGAGCACCTTTCATGAGTTTTTAAACTGTTCTAATTTCGGCAATAAATTATACTGTCAACCTATCTATATATAAGACTACAAGATCTGTATCCTACTCTCATTAGAATAAGCTCCATGAGGGCAAGGATTTTTATTTTTCACTGCTGTAACCCCACTGCCTAGAACAGCACCAGGCACAGAGCAGACACTCAGTTAATACTCAATTAGAAGAATGAAATAAAAAGTAAATTGCAACTACTAAGTCATAAAGAGAAATGAAGTCTCGATACATGCCACGACATGGATGAACCTTGAAAACATCATGCTGAGCGAAATAAGTCAGTCACAAGTGGACAAATATTGTACGACCTCAATTATATGAAATAAGCAAATATATGGAAACCAAAAATTATCAGTAGTTACCGGGGCGGGAAGGTGGAGTGTTTGCTTAGGGGACGCAGACGTTATGTTAATGGTGGTGGAATGATCTGGAAAAGGATAGAGAGAATGGTTGCACAACTTGAATGCAGTCAATGTTACTGAATTGGACATGTAGAAATTGTTGAGATGGCATATGTTTTGTTACGTATGTTTTCACCACAAAAAAATTTTTTTAAAAGCTTTCATGGTTTAATACTCATGGACAGGAAGACTCAACATTGTGAAAATGTCCATTCTACCCAAAGCTATATACAGATACAATGCAATCCAGATCCAAACTCCAACAACAATTTTTAACAAGATGGAGAAACAAATCACCAACTTCATATGGAAAGGGAAGAGGCCCCAGATAAGTAAAGCATTACTAGAGAAGAAAAACAAAGTGGGAGGCCTCACACTACCTGATTTTAGAACCTATTATACCGCCATGGTACTCAAAACGGCCTGGTTCTGGTACAACAACAGATACACAGACCAATGAAACACAATTGAGAACTCATATGTAAATCCATCCACCTATGAGCAGTTGATATTTGACAAAGGCCCGAAGTCTGTTAAATGTGGAAAAGACAGTCTCTTTAACAAATGGTGCTGGCATAACTGGAAATTCATCTGCAAAAAAATGAAAAGACCCATACTTCACATCATGAACAAAAATTAACTCAAAATGGATCAAAGACCTAAATATAAAATCTAAAACGATAAAGATCATGGAAGAAAAAATAGGGACAAGGCTAGCAGCCCTAACACACGGCATAAATAGTATACAAACCATAACTGACAATGCACAAACCCCTGAAGAGAAACTAGATAACTGGGAGCTGCTAAAAATCAAACCCTTATGCTCATCAAAAGACTTCACCAAGAGAAAAAGACAACCCACAGACTAGGAAGAAATTTTTGGCTATGACATATCCGATCAGGGTCTAATCTCTAAAATCTACGAGATACTGCAACACCTCAACCACAAAAAGACAAAAAACCCAGTTAAAAAATGGGCAAAGGATATGAACAGACACTTCACCAAAGACATTCAGGGGGCTAACAGACACATGATGAAATGTTCACATCACCAGCCATTAAAGAAATGTAAACCAAAACTACAATGAAAAACCAACTCACCCCAACAGGCTGGCACTAATCCAAAAAACACAAACTAATAAATGTTGGAGAGGTTGTGGAGAGACTGGAACGCTTATGCACCACTGGTGGGAATGTAAATGGTATAACCACTCTGGAAAATGATTTGGTGCTTCCTTAAAAAGCTAGAAATAGAGGTACCATACAATTCAGCAATCCCACTCCTAGGAATATATCCTAGAGAAATAAAAGCCGTCACACGAATAGACATATGCACACCCACGATCATTGCAGCATTGTTCACAATAGCAAAAAGATGGAAACAACCTAGGTGCCCATCAACAGATAAATGGATAAACAAATTACAGTACATGCATACAATGGAATACTATGCAACAATAAAGAACGATGAATCCATGAAACATTTCACAACATGGATGAATCTGGAGGGCATTATGCTGAGTGAAATTAGTCAATCAAAAAAAGACAAGTATTGTATGAGACCACTATTTTAAGAACTCAAGAAAAGGTTTAAACACAGAAAACAGCATTCTTTGACGGTTACGAGGGTGGGGAGGGAGGGAGAGGGGAATTCACTAACTAGATAGTAGACAAGGATTAACTTTGATGAAGGGAAGGACAGCACACAATACAGCGGAAGCCAGCACAACTGGACCAAAGCAAAAGCTAAGAAGTTTCCTGGACACATCTAAACACTCTGAGGGACAGACAGCTGGGGCTGAGGCCTGAGGACCATAGTTTCAGGGGACATCTAGGTCAAGTAGCATAACAAAGTTTATTAAGAAAATGTTCTGCATCCCCCTTTGGTGAATAGCATCTGGGGCCTTAAAAGCCTGCGAGCAGCCATCTAAGATGCATCAACTGGTCCCACCCACTTGGAGCAAAGAAGAATGAAGAAAACCAAAGACCCAAGGAAAATATTAGCCCAAGAGACGAAAGGTCCACATAAACCAGAGACTCCACCAGCCTGAGACCAGAAGAACTAGATGGTGCCCAGCTACCACCAACGACCACTCTGACAGGGAACACAACAGAGAGTCCCTGATAGAGCCGGAGAAAAGTGTGAAGGAGAACTCAGATTCTCATAAAAAGACCAGACTTAATGGTCTGACAGTGCCTGGAGGAACTCCCGAAACTATAGCCCCCAGACAATCTGTTAACCTAGAACCGAAACCATTCCCAAAGCCCACTCTTCAGACATAGACAGGACTATAAAACAAAAAATAATACACGTGAGGAGTGTGCTTTGTTGTTCCATCACATACACGAGACCAAATGGGTGGCTCCTGTCTGGAGGCAGGATGAGAAAGCAGGAAGGGACAGGAACTGGTTGAATGGACACAGGGAACCCGGGATGGAAAGGGGGAGCGTGCTGTCACATTGTCGGGATTGGAAGTAATGCCACAAAACAATGTGTATAAATTTTTGTATGCGAAGTTAACTTGAGCTGTAAACTTTCACCTAGAGCATAACT